AGAGAGTACGGCATTTCTAACATAAAATGAATTTTAAACCATGAATTTTGTGTAAATCAATCAATCTACCTTTCATCTGATTTTAAACTCATAAATTGTACAAATGATGATAATGAATGGTTTAAAAGAGCTTGTAAGTAGTTGTGTATACCACTTGAGGTGGTTTATGGTTGTTTATAGGGTATGAAACTGTTTATTTACATATGACGTAAACAATAGAACAATGGATATGATATATTTATGAGGATATTTTTATGATTGACAATTGTTGATCAATATAATTATGCTGGTATAATAAATTGTATAATGAGGGTATGGTGACGTAGTGTGGAAAGGTTGAATTTGATTGGTTCATGTAAAGAACGATTTTCATTGGCTGAGATTGATAACGATGACTTGATTTATTTTTGAATGACGTCATGTGTGGGTATGGTGACTTGAATATCCCTGTAGAATGTAAACAGGAATATAATTAGTTTGATTGGCTCATGTAAAGAACGATTTTCATTGGTTGAGAGCGATGACGTGTTTATTTTTTTGAATAGTCCTAATCAAAACGAGAATAATAATAAAAATAATGATGAAAAAATAATAATAATGATTATGATAATAATACTGGTATAACCGTAAGTGAGGTCATATAATTTTAGTATTCGTTTTAACAATATATATTTTGAAGAAATAGCGTTATTCGAGGGAAAAATATAAGCATGGTAACTGAAAGAATTGCACGAGAAATCAATTCAGCGTTTGTAACATATAAACTAGGATGTTGAGAAGTTTTTTAAAGACGTTGTAACAGAGATGTTTAGTGATAATATCATAAACTGGGGCCGTATAAATATGGTTTTTGTGTTTGGAGCAAAGTTAGCTGTGTTATGTAAAGATAGAAACAGAACTGATTTGATTGATCAAGTAATACAGAGTGTAGACAAATTCGCGGAGACGGAATTTTTGGAATGGATAGATTTGAAAGGAGGATGGGTAAGTCACTTTTTTTTCTTGCTAACAATCATTGATTAATAAATTCAAATTGCAATTTGTTTCTCTCTCTCTATACTTTATATATAATAATATTTATTTATTTATTTTCAGAACAATTTCGATCGATCGTATACTGTATTGAATACAATAGGATTACAGAGACTCCTCAGCGTTTCGCTGGGGATAGCGTCAAGTCTGATAGCAACTTTTTTTTCTATTCAAAACATTTTGGCAAGGATAATATGTATAAAGTATATTTCGCCTATCTAAGTAGTTCTGAAAAGAAGTGTTGTTGTTGAGAATGTCTCAACGTTAAATAATAGTGATAATAACTTACATGATCTCTCGAGTGTTCTAAAAAATGCTTAGTTGACTAATAAGTTGACTGATGACGCATAGCGGGTTTTTCAAATTGATGACGCATAGCGGGGTTTTCTATTGACAGGCCCAGTCACGTTGAAGTCTGACGAATAATAGCGTATAATGAAAAGATCGAAACATGCGCTGGTACGTATGACGTCTGAGTGAAATCAATTATTTAAAAGGAGGGTGGGTAAGCCACTCTTTTTTTTTTCGTGTTAACAATCATTGATTAATAAATTCCAACTGCAATTTGTTTCTCTCTATATTTTATATATAATATTTATTTATTTTATTTAGGCCTATTTATTTATTCATTTATTTTACAATAAGAATACAGAGACTCCTCTAATCAACGTTTCACTGGAGATATCGTTAAGTCTTAGAGCAACTTTTTTTCTATTCAAAACCTTTTATCAAGGATGATATGTGTGAAGTATGTCTCGCATATCTAAGTAGTTCTGAAAAGAAGTGTTGTTGTTGAGAATGTCTCAACGTTAAATAATAGTGATAATAACTTACATTTGATGATCTCTCGAGTGTTCCAAAAAAGATAAGTTGATTGATAAGTTGACTGATGGCGCATAGCAGGTTTTTTAAACTGGTGACGCGTAGCGGGGTTTTCTAATGACGGTTCTACAAATCTGATGAATAATGACGTATAATAAAAAGATCGAAATATACGCTGTAGCACATAAACTAGGCAATGATAGAGGATACGAACTGTAATTTTTTCAAATATTGCGAAAAGATGTATAAAGCGTACGATAAACATTTTTATAATTTGACAAGACAAGTATCGCTTGATTCAAATGAGAATGTTGAGGAGTTTTTTAAAGACGTTGTAACAGAGATGTTTAGTGATAATATCATAAACTGGGGCCGTATAATTATGGTTTTTGTGTTTGGAGGAAAGTTAGCTGTGTTATGTAAAGATAGAAACAGAACTGATTTGATTGATCAAGTAATACAGAGTGTAGACAATTTCGTGGAGACGGAATTTTTGGAATGGATAAATTTGAGAGGAGGATGGGTAAGTCAATTTTTTTTTCGTGTTAACAATCATTGATTGACTACACAGAGTATTGTTTATGTTCAGAACAATTTCGATCAATCGTATACTGAACACAATACGTTTACAGAGACTCCTCTAATCAACGTTTCGCTGGGGATAGCGTCAAGTCTGATAGCAACTTTTTTTCTATTCAAAACATTTTGGCAAGGATGACATGTATAAAGTACGTTTCGCCTATCTAAGTAGTTCTGAAAAGAACTGTTGTTGTTGAGAATGTCTCAACGTTAAATAATAGTGATAATAACTTACATGATCTCACGAGTGTTCTAAAAAATGCTTAGTTGACTGATAAGTTGACTGATGACGCATAGCGGGTTTTTCAAATTGGTGACGCATAGCGGGGTTTTCTATTGACAGGCCCAGTCACGTTGAAGTCTGACGAATAATGGCGTATAATGAAAAGATCGAAACATGCGCTGGTACGTATGACGTCTGAGTGAAATCAATTATTTAAAAGGAGGATGGGTAAGTCACTCTTTTTTTTCTCCTGTTAACAATCATTGATTAATAAATTCCAACTGCAATTTTCTTTCTCTCTCTATATTTTATATATAATATTTATTTATTTTATTTAGACCTATTTATTTATTTATTTATTTATATATTTATATATTTATTTATTTTACAATAAGATTACAGAGACTCCTCTAATCAACGTTTCACTGGGGATATCGTTAAGTCTTATAGCAACTTTTTTCTATTCAAAACCTTTTGTCAAGGATGATATGTGTGGAGTACCGGTATGTCTCGCATATCTAAATAGTTCTGAAAAGAAGTGTTGTTTTTGATAATGTCTCAACGTTAAATAATAGTGATAATAACTTACAT